GATTAATATCTTTCAAATTTGGCGAATTGTCCAAATGCAGAATGAGGCCTTTGTCTTCGAAGAAAATGGCTATCAGGTTAGAAGAGGATGCATCACTAACTGGGTCGCACGAAGCCATGATATTCATCTGAAAACAAAGTTAAATGAATCAGTTAAGGATTAACTTTGGACATCAGGCCTTTTTTCTCGAACAAGTCCGAAAAGAAGCACAATTTTGCCTTTTAATCTTATTATGCTATTTGTCTATAGAGTAAGTTCTTATCCAAATTGGGCTTGAGCTTTGCTCAATCAGCACCACAATTTTCTTTATATAACGATATATGCTTAAGGTATAAGTTGCGATTTGCTTTCCCTATATTTTGTGGCAAAAGTAACCTGATTATTTGACATATATAATCTTCTCAAGAGTTTATTTTGCTTCAACTTTTATTTCGTTTTCGAAGGCGAGTGAGAGGAACCCGTATATTGACCTCACCAGAAACCGAATGCTGAGTTACTTGTAGTTCTTATTCTTCATTTGTTGCAAGTAACCCTCGGCGCGCCGTCCTGCAACCCCGATCTTTCTGCTTAGTTTCCGCCTTGCCTGCCATGACATATATCCTCATAATGGGAAGACATTCTTTAAAAATCGCCACCAAGCGCTAAGGCAAGGGGTGCTGGCTCTAACCCTACCTGTCTTATGATTTGGTTCGCTATTTAATATTTTCCCCATATGCTTGCAGCCAAGTGAAATGTTTGTATATTTTATGTGAAGTGACTCTAGATGAAGCCTAAAGTGGATGTAGTTGTTATCCTCATCATTCCTCGTCGGCATCACTTTTGTCTTTGATTCTTTAATGTTTACACACCTAATTGTGTTCGTTTGCTTGTGTGTTGTGTGTATTAAATGCTTACGAATCATGAATTGTGAGTTCTAACCAGATCCTGAACTAATAAAACTTTCTTTTTTCCTTCCTCTTTACCTAATCCTACCCAGCAGGCACAAGTAGTTCTCTTTCAATTTTCTCTACTATTTAATTTTTTCGAGACATTGGTCGCCTTGTTTATTTCTATAACCTCTTTAATCTTCCCCCTGGCGTAAAATCACGATATCCAGCCAATCGTATGGCTTTAGATTAGTCCATTTGGTGACTTGCGCCACTCATGCCTTCATCCAATTTCGATTTATAGAGCCACAGCCGTTTGTAAGAGGATTTTTTATTCGTAAAACCTCTTATAAAGTAGGCAGATCTGTCCTGCGTAGCTACTACCATACGAACAACCTTATAGCAACCATATGAAAAATAGTTTGAAAAGTCTTAAAGAAGGCTCTACCTAAGAAAGTGATATTCTCATCCTACACATTCTAATTTCTAACCTGCTCAATGATTCTCTTTGTGTCTTGGAGTTCCGGGGAGATGGAAGCATCATAATTTTACTGTAATGTAGCGTTCTCTCTAGGCCCAAATAGATATTTTCATTAATCCTGCTTAATGGGGTTCTCAACTTATCAATACATTTCAATGAATAGTTGTTCTGAACTAAAATATTCTCTAAATTTCCTACCTTTTGATTGGGATGATTAAGATCCACAGAACACAGGCTTATTATTATTGTTATTGATTTCATAGCGCCTATTTTATCCTCACAAATGTGATTCGAAGATTCGATTCAAAATATAGCTCGCATTTGCGAGTCCCAGCACGCGGGTTTGATCATACAAGTGTTCAGTGAAGCTAAAGCTTGATCACAAGATTTACAAAGTGTTAATGCCAAACGTTGATAAGGGAAAGTGCAAGTTACTTTTTAGTGGCGTGCTGATGTTTGGCCTTGTGAATGGCAAGGTTCACTGTAGGTGCCTATTACGATGTTAGTGAGGCGTCTAAAAATGTAATAAGTCAGCAGACAGTTACTGTAAATTATTATAACTATTATGGTAGAGGACTTCGAACAAGGTGTGAATATCTGGATCTTTCTGACAACTAGCTATGTAGCTCAAACGAAGTCAAATAACAACGATTCCACACCATCTTGGTTCTCGTATCCTCGGTTTAACACAATTTTTGTTTTAAAAAAGTAACCTATCGACATTTTCTATTATCATGATCGATTCGATCTTCACGTTTATTTTATTCATTCTGGGAAATCACTCAGGCGCTCTTTGCCGTGTCGTCAAAGGAAAAAGGAGCAATATATCTACCTAATAATTTCGGAGCCTAGCTTTCTTTCAGAATTCGTATTCTCACTTATCATTTTCACGAATTCGTCGGCACAGCCTCAAGTTCCAGGCAAAACAGCGGAACTACATGAAAATTGAGATTGCTAAACTTTCCATAGAGGATTAGTGCATTCTAAGGGCTAATTCTACTAGTTCGATGCAAAATACTTGCTAATTGTATATTAGCAACCTTTAAAGGTCAATTATCTCTGTGACATTTTACTAGAGTGCATTGAATTCATAGGCCAAAACGAAACGGCATTTAATAACTTTGTTATTTGCCGTCAGAATTATTCTTTGATATTTAATTTTCTAAGGATCTTAGAAATTCCTGAGATTAATAATCTCTACGGCCACTTGGTGGTTACGTTTTTTCTTGCACAGCAAATACATGAATTACCAGGTAACTATTCTTTCTGGTTTAGGTTTACATTGTCGTTTTTTAATTCTGCATGTATTCCTTAACTTGGAATCTAGTTTTAATAGCCCATATTTGCTTATATATATTAAGGTTTTACCTAATTTCAAATGAATTTTTTCTTTACTACAGCCTGCCTGGCATCTTAAAACTCGGCTTCCATTCTCCACTTCTGTCCTGTTGTCAAGACACTATCGAACAAATCTTTTTGCTTCGGCAACTTCCAATTTCCCCTCTTTTCTATCAAACTCGACTCTTTTTAATCAGCTTCACCGAATTTTAAATATCCCCACATCTCTCTTTGATCTCCCTTCTTATATTTACCATAATATTATTTACAAGCCTCGTCTTCTTGCATCCTCGTGGCCCTTTTGTTCACGTGGTTTCTTATTTGGCTTTCGCATCCACGGTTTTCCTCTCTCATTCCATCCACCCAATCTTTCCCCATCAGCTCGAGTGCTTTCGAAGATTGCCGCGCCCATGCAAGAACAAGAATTGAATCTTGGCCGAGTGAAGTTAACCCCCTCTGAAATCACCGGATCGGATAATGCTGGCTGTGACCTAATATCACTCCCTTCTGTCGGCATGCTCCAACTGTCTCCTCAGTCAATACAGCGCGATAATCATGAATACTTTTTCGCCTCATGGCTTCTCAGTGGCTCGAAGAAACAACAGCAACCAGTGATTCGGATAGAATTTAATCTGCGTCTGCCATCATGCGTTGAGTCGTCTATTGGTGAGCTTTGAGAATCTTGATCCTTCTAGTTTCGTTTTCCCGTTGAGGTTCTATTCTTGAACTCCATGACCTACTTACCAAATGTATCATATATCTAGGCCATTTCTTCTAAGTGCGAATGAAATATGTTTTGACATCTGTCTCTGTGGCTTCTGATCATCGTGTGAAACAGCCATAGTAGTGAGGATATAGCGTTTTTTTTATAAGGTAGAAGAAGACCCAAAATGTCCATTTGCACACGGTTGAAGCTCTTCGAAACTGCCTCAAAACTGCTTATAGGAGTCTTGGTATGACTGCGTACCTTGTTCTTCTGCCAATGACCTTTGGCAGGCTTTTATCCATTTACCGATGCCTGTTTCCGTCACTGGCCAGACAAAACGTTCTGCGATGAGTTTTTTTGAAGCCCGTATGCCGGGATGTACCAAATTGTTTTTGAATTGAAACATCATTTTCCACATGGCAAGTGATACTAAAGGTCGATGTTTACTTGCAGACACGTCATATCAAGCTTAGGATCCCTCGAGGATTTTCACTTGGGCCATATCCAGCCTTGGCCACTTTTTAGCCATTGCCTAACTGTGTTTACTTATCTGAGGCTGTGCCATGGCCTTGTAGTCAATTTATGCAATTTTTGAGGTAGTATTATGCTCTTCGAGGGATAGAACATGTGCGACTACATTATCTACACCCTTTTTGTGGCGTACAAAAGTGATTAACTGTGAAATATTATCAAGATAACGAGTCTCGCGTGATGACTACTTGTCTGAGGTGCTCGTGAAAACTCCGAAAAGAGGTTTATTGTCCGTGAAGATTTGATATTGCTTACCAGTGAGCATGTGATTATACTACTTTATCGAAGAATACACAGCTAAATGTTCGTGCTATACCGAGTCGAGTTCACCAAGTTTCATAAAAAAAAGGAAGGCGGTTGCGACGCTCCCTTAATGACTTAATATAGAGATATTTTAAATCGTAGATAATAAGGTCAAGATGGTGTAGCCTTCTGTTTGGTTGCAGTCTCCTTTAGCTTTATAGTGTTGGTTCGATCTTGTTTTCGCAAATTGTTCGGAATATCAGGGAGACCTTGTGAAACGTACATAATCCCGTTTCTTATGTCAAAGTATTCGGGATTTCTAGCATTGGATCATTGGCTGAATACATTCCCAAACGGGAATTGAAGGCTCTTAGGTAACCAGAGTTCAGACAACCAAACAGCGATTTCGATGTTTAGCAGTGGATAATTAGTAAGCGGGTAGGTCAGGAGCCCTGAAAACGGCATTTGGTAGCGGTGGTGGGGATGCTTATGCTTCATTCAAACCACTTGTAGCGATGGCATAGATGGACCTTTTAGATTCTCCATGAGCAATCCGGTTGTTTGTGGAGTCCACACATATTTGGCGAATTCCCTACTTAAGATGGCGAAAGGCAGGTTGGCTATATTAAAAGTCCATCTGGAAATCTTTTTTTAGACCGAAGTATAACTTTACCTCTGGTGCCTTATGTTCTGATCGCCATTTTGTTTGCTGATATCAGAGAGAATAATGGGTCTCCTCTCTCTCTCCTGTCGTTCTGTAAGAGGGTTACATTGTCTCCCATGTCAACTAGATACTTTTGGTCGTAGAAAAAAAGAAGATGGCGATCCTGAGTAACCCTTGGGCAGGTTGTCGCCATAGCCTGCTATGGTTCTCGTTTTTCTTACTTTGTAAACCATCCACTGACTTTATGGTCATCTTGGAATATTCTGGGAGGAACACAACCACTTGCATGGGAACGGAACTCACTGTTTTAAGCACCACTAATGGGAGCTGGAGTAGTGTCTCTCTAAAGGCGCGCAAGCCTGGGATCTGGATTTATAGGGTTGTGAATGTCTATTTAGCTGCAGTTGCCTGTTTTTAATATCTGCGACATCGTTGTTTCTGAACCCTATGGTTGCTTGTCTTTGAATGTAACGATAGTCTTCGATTGCAGGATTATTACCTCCACAATTTCATCAGCGATTTTAGCACCTTCTAATGGTTGATTTCTAGCAGCCTTCAAAGCCAGTTTTATCTCGATAGAGTCGCCTCATCCATAGCTGTCGAAGCATCGAACCAAGGCCAGAGGATGGTCCGGCAAACTGTTGAAGACAGGCCAGTAATACTGAAGGTTTCTGATCTTCGAGCTTGTCTGTATCCTGCAAAACTTACATCCTCTGCTCCGAAAAAGAAATCTATTCGATGATATAATGTTTGAGTTTGTCACGACATTTCGGTCTTAATCTGCCTAGTAACAATTGTTGAGTGAGATCTGTTATGCCTGGCGGATGCTTGAAGACAATGAGGAATTTAATCTCGAAGCTCTGGATTTGATATGCTTGAAAAATTAACTCGATAAGCTCATAACAGAGACGAGGGTTACATCTGTTAAAACAAGGCACCCGGGCGTTGACAGTACGAATTGAGAAAACGTGGCCATCTTCACCACGGAAAAGAGGTTCATTATCTGCTGTATTTGACATGGCCAAGTAGCAAGCAAATCACCGGTTCGCTGATCTGAATTGTCTTCAACTTCGTGCTGATGCATAGATAAAAAAGAAAGCGAGTCACAGGGTAGCTTTTATAATTATTGAGATTACTTTCATTTCAAGTGAAAGTGCTGGGTAAAGATATTCGATTGTCGGTTCCACCAGAACACGACGGCTGTTCCTCTTGACCAGCTGTCGATTGGCTTTACTGGAAGATTCATGCTGACGCTGTTTTCGAAGTGATCTCCTTCGATTCCGGTGAAAAGGTGCTAAGCTTTCGTCCGTAATATGACGGACATCATCAGAGCGAAGTATCATCGTCACAACAAAATTCAAGCTAACAAGTCAAGTAAGCTCAACAATTATGAAACAAGAGACCCCTCGAAACCCAACTTTTCTTCGCATACAGAACAAATGAGTCTGAACAATACGGAGTCCAATAGCATCTTCTCTTTTTTTCAATAG